TGCATGAACATCTACTCCAAATTTAAATGATTGTGTTGTCATTAAAATATGTTTTTTAGAAAAATGAAGTCAGTTGAAAGATTATAAGAAACGAAACAGTCATATCTCAACAGGAAAAACGTGCGTGAGAGTTTTAAGCGAGCGAGCGAGTGCGAGTGCGAGTTCATTTTGTGTGCTGTTAGGATCTACAAAAATTATTTAATCGTTAGAATATATCTTTTAATGGTAGTCGCAATTGTTATTATTCGAAAATATGACTATGTCAAACAATGTTTTTTTGAAGGGAACAATATTGATTAGGGAAAACAAACGGGAATCATCTTGTATTGTTACACAAAATGCTTTGATTTGAAGTCGTTCTATCAGATACTCATGTTATGCATGTACTGGGCCGTCAAATCAATGAACTGTGAGTGAGTTGGGTTTAACGCCGCTTTAAACAGTATTCCAGTTATATCACGGCGTGTCAGCTTAATGTGGAGGGAAAGCCCGAAGTGATGCAGGTCTCAGACGTTTACCACTTCGGTGAAACCCACGAGCACGGGAATGGCGCTGACAAACCTAAACATAATCGGGACCAACCGGGATTCGAACCCACAATCATAGGTTTCTGGCGTGCCCAAGGGACGCAACTCTGCACAGCGAATCGCGGGGCCCTAGACGACTGGGCCACCCGTGCCCCCATCAATGAACTGAACTCACGAGATATTATGTATACTAGTAGTATCATGGATGTATTTACAGGTTTTTGAAGTAGATGATCATTAACTAATAAAACATAGATATTAGGGAGCATCTAACAGTTTCTCTCTCAGAGGTTTAAACAAAAACACAGACCCGTAATTTATTCGGTCTCATGGTCTTGATTAGAGTGATCAGAAGTGCAGTAATATACCGGCGTGTCAGCTCAATGAATAATGAAATAAGAATTTGTACACTGGGTAGTAGTCCATGACATACTTAATTGTGCTACTAGAAGTCACAAAATACCCGATCAATTGTTCGAAGATTGTTCTTGAAGATTCCTGGTTCTTGAATGAGTCAAGTGTACAGCAAAAGTTACAGTGACACAAGTCGTAGACGTATCCACGTGTTTCAACCACGATCACGGGTATGACCTGTCAAAAACTGTGTACAAAACAGTTTATTTTTATAGGACCTTGTGGTGTTGACAAGGGTCAATAGCTGGGACACAGTCAAACGCGGGCTAAAAGAACGCCTACGAGTACACGATACGTCCCAACTATAGGTTTGCAATAGATGGACATAAAAGAAATCCATGTTTCACAGTTGGAATCTGAGACCTTACGAAATGCTATCGGGAACGTTAGTTAATGACTTTGTTCCACAACCGTTGGAGCGAGTGAATGTCATATTTTACGTCCAAGTCTACAATATTCCAGCTATGTAAACGACGACCTGTAAACAAGGCCTAGTTCAAGGCCAGACAAATGAAGAGGTTGACAGCATTATCTTTGCCTTTGTCCATGAATATATCCTTATCAGCTACATTAACTGTAAACTGACGACATAGGCGTGTCCTCGTTCGTCAAACTTTGACCTTCATTGTCGCTGATCCAGCGTATTGATTCAACCTACCCCGATTCTCTCTTTAGTACAATGATTCAACACCCTCCGATATCCCTCTGTGATGCAATGATTCAACCCCCCCCCCCCCCCCCCCCTTCACACACACACCCCACACACGCACCCCACCCCCAACCACACACACACACACACACACATGAGACCGACCATTTGAGATTCGGGGAGGCCTTGGATTTTCTCGAAAAATAATATTGCAGATGCAAATTCTTGAAAAAACTAATTATGCGACAGACTGTTGAAAAACAAATTAACTTACCTGGCCAAAAATACATTGTTGCACGGTCTCTTTTAACAAAATATTTAGAGTTCTGGTTTATCTGGTTAATCCGATTTTTGACCTTGATTTTATCTATGCACATCGACCATACTGCATGCTGAAACTCCTGATACTCAACCAATTTGTTTCCCAATGTGATGACATTTGGTGTATACGTACAATGTAGTTAGTCGTGGTACTCGACGAACATGGTCCGCTTTTCACGATATTTGATCTTTGCGCTTCAGACTTCTCTCGAAATACAATTCGTCACGCTGTAAACGTCATCTCTTCAGAAATCACTGGATCAATGTAGTAGAGCTTCACATGCTTGTTTCAACAAATGATGACACCTGATTTCTTCGAGAGTCTCGGGAATAATTTAAATATGGCCGCCACGGCTGTTTGTTGACAAACACATTTCTGATCAGACATTTCTGCTCAACATGTACTGTACATTGGCTCTTACGCGTCGCTGAAAGTGTCAGACTGGGAAGCTGATCTTTTGAATGTACATGTACATTGTATGTTTCTCCTTTGATAACACCACATGTGTTTGTTTAAATCATCCTGAGTTTTGTGAATTTCTGTGCAAAAATTTGAATGTCATTACGAAAATTATTTTTATTTGAGATGTGTCGTCATATAGACAAGACAACTAAAGACAAGACTTTATATTTTTGTCACGTATGTTATCTTATACTGAATACATGCTTAAGGAACACAACAACAGAGCTTATGATCTCTTTGGGATTTAACAAATTAATTATTATGAGTGGGGTATTAATATTTAAAACAGGAGGGAAATATTTGGAAAATAATGTACTGTTTTCTTCTAAGAAGTTATATAAGGCTCAGTTTTGAATATGGTGTGTAGTGATTTAACTGTTGTGTATTGCAACAATTTCCAATAGTACAACAACGATAGCACATTCATTCTTGCAAATTTTGAAACATTGTGGATATTTAGTTACTTGTTTTATTTTTGTTAATACTTTTGTCTTTGGTAGTAGTTTGAACTGTTGATTAAATATCCAGGTAAGCCAGGTAGGCACTATTTTTGTTAACTTGGTTTGACCATTTTGAGTTTCCGAGCAATGATAAATTCTGAAAAACAGAAAATACATGAAACCATTTTGCATGTATTTTAACAAATCCTTCAACACTTAATGTCAATGGCACTGTCACTTCGACATCCTCAAACCCTACGCCGACGTCGCCAACATGCGAGTACTTGGCGTCAACAATGTCATTTAGATAATTCAAGGGTTGCATTTCTAAAAACACAAATATTTGTTTTATCGATGTAATACAAACATTGCTTTCACACAGTAACAGTAACGAAAAGTAACATAATAACATCTTACGTTAATTTATTACGTAACAAATACACCACGTTTACCTGACTTACAGATCGCACTGGCAAGTTCATTTATAAAAAAAACAGAGATAAATAACGGCATTGCCTAAAAGTCGGGCCGGGCCGTGCCAAGACGTACCAAAGTGTTATTGGCTAATTACTTCTTTATCGACCATACCTACATATTATTGATGCAACATACATACATGACATTACTGAACAATCACCAACCAAAAACGTGCACCATAATTAAGTATTTCGGAGTATATCACTTGCAAACCAGAAAGTGGAGCTGTGTGTGTGTCTACATACATTCATACATCGTAGGCGTGTGCCTCGAAGAGTACGGGGGAGGGTGTGGGGTTCTTTTGGGGGTGGGGTGGGGTTGTTTGTGTTGGCAAAGCAGTTATCAAAGCGTTTCTTTCGGTAGAGTTGGGTGGCCCTGAAAAGGGCTGTTTGATCGTGAGAGACTACCTCCTCACCCACGTTCCCGGGTCTGTGGTGCAAAGGCACGGATGGGCCGTCATGTGTCTTCTGATAGGACACTTACTGGTGTGGCTCAAACGGTATGACAATAGACGTACTGAAACGTCCCATCACGTGCCTTAGTGCCATGAGCGTAGACCAGCAGGCAGCCTTTGCACATGCTATATTGACATGGAGGCGATGGCAATGCTGGTGATGGTGCTGTCTTTGTAGAATTGGTGTCTCCGTTCTCCATAGCCTTTCCTTCTCCGGGGGATGGAGCTGGGGCACTCTTACTACGAGCCTTTCCTCCGGGAAAAAATAATAATTATTATCATCATCCTCATCGTCATCCTCATCACACCGAGAATGGCAGAGACGAAGAGCTGTACAGAAGCTTGTGGTGAGGGGACCAGGATCCATCTGGGTTCTTGTAGACCAAGGAGTGATGGTACGGATGCTTGTGGGTCCAGATCTGAGTGTACTAGGATGCTTGTCATGGTAGGCCACCACCGCCGTCGCCCAGTAAGCCACCATCGTCGCCCCATTATCTACACTTTGAAAAAAGACTAGCCTCGTTTGAGGGGTGAACGATGCAGATGAACCAGACCGCTGAAGAGATGGCCCATGCGGGCTTCGTGTACACGCAAAGTGCTGATGGCGTGTACTGCTTTCATTGCGGCGTGCGGCTGAGAAGATGGGCGCCCAACGACGATTCTTGGCTTGAACACCTCAAGTGGTCCTCCCACTGCACCTACCTCAAGCTGACCGGGCTGCTGAGACACAAGAAGAAGAACGTGGCAGCTACTACTTACTGGCACTGTGCGAGGAGAATGCGAATGAGGAAGCTTCCCCCGCCTTCCTAGGATGTAGTTTCCTTTCCAGTTCCCGTTCCCGTTCCCGTTCCGTTTCGTTCCCGTTCCGTTCCGTTCCGTTCCGTTCCGTTCCCGTTCCCGTTCCTGTGCCAGTGTTGGTGTTTTTTTTCTTCTTCTCCAAACGGCCGTTTTCAGGGCCACCCAACTCTCCCGAAAGAACACTGTCATCATTGCTTTGCCAACCAACAACACACACACAACAAATGAAAAGAACCCTCCTCCTCCTCCTCCCTCCTCCTTCTCCTCTGTGTTCGTAAGGACAGGATGATATTCAAGACCTTCACTCCGAACACTTCTTTCATGACCTTCACAAAACAAAGCCTACATGTAGACATAACGTCAAAACCAGTGACTAAGAATAACAAATATGTCAAGAATTCATGAGATTACTCCGTGGTGCTGGGCAACATAAGACCCACATATAAAGGTCACAAGCAGTGACTTATCATTAGATACAGGTCCATGAGCAAACACTTACTCCGTGGTGCTGTGCATTGAAGGGTTCATTCACGGCCTGGTGTGGGTGAGAGAGGTTTGCAAACATGGACCCTCTGGGGCTTGTATCTCGTCTCAATCGTGAAACTGTTCTCCAGGCTGTAGGGACATCTGTCCTCCTGTACGTGGCATACCGCGTTGTCAGTTTGCTGGTCTGGTATTGGCGTCTTTTCAGTTTCTTCAACAAGTGTCAGGGCGTCAAGGACTTCTCCTGGAGGACCGGCAACCTGCATTTGGTGAGTCAATTTATCTCTTTCTAAGCCATTATTGTTCTGTGTCAAGTCGACTAAGTCGGTGTATAAATGTAGTTAATTTTCCTATTATTTCTGTTACTGCTGCTGTTACTGCGTCGTTTACTGTTGCAACTAGTTCTACTGTTGACCCCGCTGCTGCTGCTAAAACTAGCCCTCTTAGTCAAGAGAGGAGTAAATAAAGTTTCCATTACGCATCTGTGTCATGACAAATGTGTCCGTAAATATGTAATATGCACCACTCGTGAAACTATCTCCTTTTTCAAGTAACTCGATGAGAAATACATCATATTTCACTACACACACGAAATATCTTATTTATTCCACTACTAAGGGAGTAAGTGAGTGACATGTAGTGAGTGAAAAATATTCTATGGGTGAGTGAAAAATGTCAGTATTTGATTTCGCAGTGAACAACAGTAAGTTATGTTGACATTAGCCACAATCAGCAATATTCCAGTTATGTCACAACGACATTTAAACAATTGAGTCAAGACCGGACACACGAAAGGCTTGTTTGTTAACCTCACGCCTCGGTCCATCGTACATCATCGGTTTTAGTGTGGTATTGGGGTATGGGGTGGGAATAGAGGGAGTGTGTAGGGTGGTGCGTTGGGAAATGGTCTTTTCACAATAGCAGTGTACACAGGACCAGATAGCATATTGTGATGCGTTTAGAAACAGCGATACCATGTACAGTGGCCGTGGGGGGGGGGGGGGGGGGGGGATTATTTACAGCTCATATGTGTTTTATATAAAAAAAAAACTGTTCACACTTCGTTTCAGTACGCTTAGAAACACTGAAATAATGTTCGAAGGGAGTGAATACTCCAGTCTTCCATGGGCGAGTGAATAATGTCAGTATTTGATTTCGCAGTGAGTTATGTTGACATTAGCCACAATTACCGCAAATTGACACCACAGGTATCTATATAATACGTGTCAAACAACCCAACATAAATGTCGACTATGTAATGACTCAATATGCCTATCTATCTGTCTGTCTGTCTGTCTGTCTGTCTGTCTGTCTGTCTGTCTATCCATCTAAGTATCTATCTATCTATCGCGCCTAGGACGACAGAAGTACCTGTGCCCCCTTGATCAGGGTTATGGGTGTATTTCCGTAATTTGGTTTCATTTCAGTACCCTATGCAGTTTGAGAAGCGTGCTGAAGTGGAGAAGGAATGGATGAGGAGATTCCCCAAGTACTACCGGATTTGGGTAGGGCCCCTCAATCCTATCATCAGGGTGTACCATCCAGACTCTATCAGAGCCATCATCAAGTCCACAGGTGACCAGAATATGTATAATTTATTCAGGTATATTCATGTGTGTATTGAAATACGTTCCTACGATATTTTAAATGAATTTAATTAGATGCTACTGAATATTTTCTGCCATTTATAAATCCATACAAATTGTTGTTTGTTCAATAATAATGCTTAAATCATCATCAAGAATTAAGTACTTGCCTTTGGAAAAACACATACTTCTGTCAGATATTCGCATTGGCCGACAATAGTTTCAAGTATGCTTCGGTCAACTTTAAACAAACTCATCGATATCATTGTCAGAGAAGCAAGCTATCATTCAATGAGTTTTGACCCTGCATCTGCATAGAGCCAAAGCAAAGGGGATTTGGGGGCCAATATGAAGTAGTAGTGCCCTGGCTGGGGGAGGGTCTCCTAGTTGCCAGTGGGAAACGCTGGAGCCGTTCTCGCCGCCTCCTCACCCCCGCCTTCCACTTCGACATCCTCAAACCCTACGTCGACGTCTCCAACAACGTCATTGACATCATGATGGTAAGACGCACGCACGCATACACACACTCAATAGTACTTTTAAATGCGGAATTATGACGAATTCTTAAACCTTGGCTTTCATTAGTGAGTGAGTGAGTATGGTTTTACGCCGCTTTTAGCAATATTACAGCAATATCACGGCGGGGGACACCAGAAATGGGCTTCACATATTGTACCCATGTCGGGAATCGAACCCGGGTCTTCCGCGTGACGAGCGAACGCTTCAACCACTAGGCTACCCGACCGCCTGGCTTTCATTAATTCGGCGGGGTAAGTGTATAATCCATGTGTTATAGGCATAGAGGTTATCACGCGAGTGTGTTTTGGGATGGTAAATGTGCTGTATTAGGAATGTACGCTGTATTGACGTAGTATTACATGATAAAAGTGTTAATTTGAAGTTACCAAAATGTTTTTGAGATATTGAAAAGCTACAATATAATATATAATACGTTTCTGGCGTTGTACCGAAGTCAGTAATACACTTAACGGGTTCGGTTGGAACGAAATCCAAGGCGTTCAATTGATATCTGTGATGCTCACATTTCCATGGTAAAATACAGTTGGAACATCTTCAGAACTGCATGTACCATTCGGGTCAAGTGATGACTTGCATGATAACGGTGTTAGAACCTTCACCGAAACGTCGCTCCTAATTGCAATAAAGAAGTTGTTCATCCATATTTATCATCCAAAACTGGCTCCCACAGGAGATATCGCTTGGATGAGATCAAGCGATATCTACACTGTAGATATCGCTGCAATGAAATTACATCACAATGCTTTGCAGACCATTGTGACATCACTGGTTACCATGACGTCACAATCAAATGACATCACTAATGGCTCTGCTACTGAAGCTGTTAGCAGTACTTTTTACACTGAAGACACTGCTAATTACTGTCTCCAAATTGAAAAAGTTGGAAGAATGATGTTGGATGATAAATAAAATCTTACCCTCGTGTCTTTTGACATCAAATATATCAACACTCGTTGATAAAAGTGGCAAAAATCCTCAGCAAGCCTCGGAATTTTTCCACTTTTATCAACGAGTGTTGATATATTTGATATCAAAAGACACGAGGGTGAGATTCTCTATATCTTATCCTTACCTAGTACACCAACCTCTAAATGCTTCTCAAGCAAGTCGTTCATGTCTTTTCTGAAAACTATCGAAAGTCAGATTTGTTTGTAGCTTTCACAAACACTGTTTTGGAGAAATGATTGTTCCAATGTTTACCTTAGAACATCGGCGAAGTATTTCTTGCATTTCAATAATTTTACATTGACAGTATCAATGGTGGAAACAGTACTATCAGAAAGCCTTCTCAAAGTGAAGGACGACGCCTGACCCCATTCAATACAATGGGTATATTGAGATATAGTTAGGGTATTTTTGGAATGCGTTAAAAAAAGAAGACACTTTGGCCTGTTTTGAACCCAGAATATATAGTTTTGGATAATAAACAAAATATACTAATAGTATCAATATAATTGTCATTCACGAGATTACATCTAATAGATTCTTGTACAGGTGGAAGTTAGGGACGGTGACCTCTACAACTCGGATTAAATGTCCCTTGAATATAGTTTTGCTCCTGGGCATTTACGCATGAAAGTAACATGACAGTCCTGCATAAACGTCCCCTCAAAAACTGGCTCATTTTCTAAATCCCGCGAATTATCATGAAGTAATAGGCTTTGTACTTAATAATAAATAATAATCCCTTGAATTTATTCAAACTTCATGCCTACCTGCAAATTCAAAAACTTCTTATTCTGTTTCAAATAATCATATTCTGGAATGTGTCATCTCATTCTGAATAAAGACAATTCAGTCCGAACTTAATATTTTTACAGGGTAACGGTAGTGTTTGTGAAAGTATTAATGTAATAGTATTTTAATGCCACCGATGTATATATATATTGACAATGACTTGATTTTAATTGTACATGTATATTATCTTTAATACTGCATGCAGTCCTGAGTACAGTGGTGTCAGTGTTACAAACATTCAAGGCCCCAGTAAAGCTTTACAAAAGTCTTATTGTACTATGTGTTCCCGTGTTTATTCACAGGTGAACTCTTGACTTGCCTTTGCATGTGTTTGTGACGGGTGCCACTGTTGGGACAGGATACGCTCACCTTTCCGTGGACACCTGGTATCATCTGTCTAACAGTGACCATTCACACATGCTTACGATATAGTCGGGTTCCTATAATGGACTCTGCTTCTAGTACAGATTGTTTATGATTATGGAAATGGTTTAGTTGCTTGTATTTGTTATACTAATTGCATATGCTGAGTCATCTAGTCTATAGCAGTGATGATATTATTATCATGATCATGTTTGCACCAGTAGCCGAGTTTGTTTTTTAAGGGCAGCTTGTGGGTTGAAACTTGTCACACTTGTTTAATTCCGAAAAAGTTTACAATGTGTGTGAAGTCCCATATCTTAGTTTTACCTCCCACACCCCACACCCCACACCTCACCCAATCCCCCACCTCTACCCCATCCTTCGAGAGATACTGCTGGACGGTTTGCTTCTAGTGGAACATTACAATAACAGCTCACTTACTAAGTAAGGTCTACAATAGATAAGCCATGTTCAGGAGATCTTTGGGTTCCACTCGTGTAAATTCGATTCGCCAGAAACCTATGTTTCTAGGTTTGTCAGCACCATACTCGTGCTTGTGGGTTTCACCGAAGTGGTAAACGTCTGAGACCTGCATCACTTCGGGCTTTCCTCCCACATTAAGCTGACACGCCGCGATATAACTGGAATACTGTTAAAAGCGGCGTTAAACCCAACTCACTCACCCAACCAATTCAGGCTTTCCTTACACATCTAGCTAACGCATAATGATATTACTGACATGCTTAACAAACAGCCGTTAACCCTCCCTCCCTCACTCACCCACACCACTCACTAACGCAACAAATAGTGTGAGCATCTTCACGCATCAACATTTGTTTACCAGGACAAGATTGACAAGCACGTGGAGGAAGGCACAAGCTTTGAGTTATTCAACATGATCAGTCTGTGTACATTTGACATCCTGTTGAGGTGCGCCATGTCTGTCGAGGAAAACATACAGGAACAGGGGTGAGTACGGGGAATGTGACAGACAGGAACAGGGGTGAGTACGGGGAATGTGACAGACAGCAGCAGGGGTGAGTACGGGGAATGTGACAGACAGCAGCAGGGGTGAGTACGGGGAATGTGACAGACAGCAGCAGGGGTGAGTACGGGGAATGGGACAGACAGCAGCAGGGGTGAGTACGGGGAATGGGACAGACAGCAGCAGGGGTGAGTACGGGGAATGGGACAGACAGCAGCAGGGGTGAGTGCGGGGAATGTGACAGACAGCAGCAGGTGTGAGTACGGTGAATGGGACAGGCAGGAACAGGGGTGAGTACGGGGAATGGGATAGACAGCTACAGGGATGAGTACGGGAATGTGGCAGACAGCACAGTGGTGAGTACGGGGAATGTGGCAGACAGCCATAGGGGTGAGTACGGGGAATGGGACAGGCAGGAACAGGGGTGAGTACGGGGAATGTGGCAGACAATAACAGGGGTGAGTTACGGGGAAAGTGACAGACAACAATAGGGGTGAGTACGGGGAATGTGGCAGACAGCAACAGGGGTGGTTACGGGGAATATGGCAGACAGCAACGGGGGTGAGTACGGGAAATGTGACAGACAACAACAGGGGTGAGTACGGGGAATGTGACAGACAGTAACAGGGGTAAGTACGGGGAAAGTGACATACAACAATAGGGGTGAGTACGGGGAATGTGGTAGACAGCAACAGGGGTGGGTACGGGGAATGTGGCAGACAGCACAGTGGTGAGTTCGGGGAATGTGACAGACAACAACAGGGGTGAGTACGGGGAATGTGGCAGACAGGAACAGGGGTGAGTACGGGGAATGTGGCAGACAATAACAGGGGTGAGTACGGGGAATGTGACAGACAGGAACAGGGGTGAGTACGGGGAATGTGACAGACAGCAACAGGGGTGAGTACGGGGAATGTGACAGACAACAACAGGGGTGAGTACGGGGAAAGTGACAGACAACAACAGGGGTGAGTACGGGGAATGTGACAGGCAGGAGCAGGGGTGAGTACGGGGAATGTGACAGACAACAGGGGTGAGTAAGGGGACTGTGACAGACAGAAGCAGGGGTGAGTACGGGGAATGTGACAGACAACAACATGGGTTAGTTTGGGAAATAAAACAAATATGAAGTGAGTGTGAGTATGGGGACTTAGATATCTTTCAAAAACTTTTTTATTAATCAGCTGATATGTATTTATTTCAGGCAAACACACCCGTATGTAAACGCAGTGAACGATTTAGTCGCCCTGGGTACAAACCGAATCCTGTAAGTGTATAAACATTCTCGAAACCATATATATCAATGTGCAACCATCTACAACCATAAGCACAACATCTGACTACCAGCGGTATGGTGATGTGAACTGAAATGTATGTGTGTGTGTGTATGTGTGCACGCGTGAGTGTGAGCATATTTTAATGTCTTATGTTTATCAGCAATGTAATTACAAAGAAAAGTTTATTTGAGAAATGTATGAAATACGTCAATGAAATAATTTAAGAGAATATCTTTACTTGCATACATTCTAGGGTCTCATTGAACATATAGAATAGAGAAAAGACGAAAAGAATCCGATTTACGCAGAAAGCAATAATTTCGATTTACTCGCCTAATAGTTTCCAAAGCTTCTGAAGTGAAATATTTCACTGTTATACTTATGAGACGTGTTGGTAGAGATGTATGCATTAGACCTGTTAAACTAAAATGCTTGTTTCTCGGGATCCGCCCAACCCTAAACTTGTCACCTAGTTCTAGGGTGTGTGGCAAAACCGGATAACGAGTTTACTTTTACAGATTTGTAACCCAAAAATAAATTATAAACTGTCCCTTTTCTACCTTGTCTGTTTCGTAAAAAAAAGTTACGAGAAACGAGATTAGTTTTTAACTAGCTTTATTTGAGCTATGAGAAATAATATCGTCTTGTGCGAGGATGATCGGAGTCTCTTGTTTCAGCACCCCACTGCACTTCTTTGATTTCATCTTTTACAACTCGTCCGAGGGGAAGAAGTTTAAGAAGCAGTGTGACTTTGTACATCGCTGGGCGGAAGACATCATCGACAAGAGGCGACAGACCTTGGTCAGTGTCTAACTTGAAAAACAATTGGTATAATTCACTTAAGAGAGTAATGCCCATGGAAATTCAAGACCAACTATGTATGTAACATGGTAATGTGTATGTAACATTGTACTATGTATGTTGTAACATTGTACTGTGTATGTAACATTGTACTGTGTATGTAACATTGTACTGTGTATGTAACATTGTACTGTGTATGTAACATTGTACAGTGTGTGTAACATTGTGCTGTGTATGTAACATTGTACTGTATATGTAACAGTGTGCTTCGTTTGTAACATTGTACTGTGTGTATAACATTGTACTTTGTATGTAACATTGTGCTGTGTATGTAACTTTGTGCTTCGTATGTAACATTGTACTGTGTGAATAACATTGTACTGTGTATGTAACATTGTACTGTGTATGTAACATTGTACTGTGTGTATAACATTGTGCTGTGTGTGTAACAGTGTCCTGTATGTGTAACATTGTCCTATGTGTGTAACATTGTGCTGTGTGTATGCAGGAGAGAGATGGACCCCCCAAGACCCGCTACCTCGACTTCTTGGACGTCCTGCTGAGTGCCCGAGATGCTGATGGCAAGGGCCTCACCCCGCTGGAGATCAGGAATGAAGTCGACACGTTCCTCTTTGAAGGTATGGCCACTAATCATATCTCGGGCAACTATCTGTTACAGTTCTGTGGAATATGTCGTTGTCATGACTCAACCATGGGAAGGGTTGTTCACCTGACGCCATTAGTGAAAACAAGTGTTGCAAGGGATAACGCGTTGATCTGGTAATACGCAACCTTGATGCAAGGCGTTCACGATTTTCCACGAAACATTGACCGAAAGAATATTCCCATTCTAATCTTCCCAAAAAATGACGATAAGTATTTTCAGTGAATGGTAGCGTGTCTTGTTCATTTTGGAACGCATCTCATGTGCTATTCTTCATATGTGTGATTTACGTAAGTTATATCCTTGTATCCTTGTTCAATTTACCCGAGGTTCATTTTACTGGCTGAAGAAAACTATAAGATGTGGATCAGATGTTTTGAAATAATATAAAATAATATTTCAGATGAGCAAGTACATACAGGCCCTCTGTATCATGAACCTTTTAAGCTTGAACTGATCTCAAACGTGACATCAAACGATTAAGAGGAGCAATTATCGTAATCAATGACATATGTTCAGTATATGAACACTTAGAATGTTGAATACTGGGATAAAATAAATATGTTGTGAAGTGAAATCGGAGTCCTGACTTTTATATCATGAGTGAAACAAGTGAAGTATCTGTTGTACTAAAGAGATGGGTGCCAAGAATTCTTAATCCATAAGATTTATAGAAGGGTGCAACACACAGAAATCAGCTGATATCCCGTAACCTTGTCTCAGACAAAAGAAATGTTCAACTTTGTTACGAGCGACATGGACAAGTGAAATGTAGGATCTGTTGCCTCTCTTTAGGAGAACTTCTATTTCATGTTTTGATCTCTGTTTCGTTTTTGTAAAGGTCAAGACACAACGACCAGTGGGATATCATGGACGCTGTTCACCATGGCCTCCAAACCCGAGTTCCAGACCCGGATACAGAAGGAACTGGACACACTGCTGGACGGAAGAGAGTCCAAGCACATCACCTGGTAGGGAGCTTCACCTAGTAGGGTACATCACATAATAGAACAGATCACCTGGTAGGGCACATCACCTGGTAGGGCACATCATCTGGTAGGGCACATCATCGGGTAGGGCACGTCACCTGGTAGGGCACATCACCTGGTAGGACACATCAACTGGTAGGACACATCATCGGGTAGGGCACATCATCTGGTAGGGCACATTACCTGGTAGGGCACATCATCAGGTAGGGTACATCATCGGGTTGGGCACATCATCGGGTAACGCACATCATCGGGTAACGCACATCATCTGGTAGGGCACATCATCGGGTAGGGCACATCATCGGGTAGGGCACGTCACCTGGTAGGACACATCATCGGGTAGGACACATCATCGGGTAGGGCACATCATCGGATAGGGCACATGTCCTGGTAGGTCACATCAACTGAAAGGACACATCATCGGGTAGGGCACATCATCTGGTAGGGTACATCATCGGGTAGGGCACATCATTGGGTAGGGCACATTACCTGGTAGGACACATCATTGGGTAGGGCACATCATCTGGAAGGACACATCATCCGGTAGGACACATCATTGGGTAGGGCACATTACCTGGTAGGACACATCATTGGGTAGGACACATCATCCGGTAGGACACATCATCGGGTAGGGCACATTACCTGGTAGGACACATCATCGGGTAGGGCACATCATCGGGTAGGGCACATCATCTGGCAGGGCACATCACCTGGAAGGACACATCATCCGGTAGGACACATCATTGGGTAGGGCACACTATCTGGTATGGCACATCATCGGGTAGGGCACATTACCTGGAAGGACACATCATCGGGTAGGACACATCATTGGGTAGGGCACATCATCTGGAAGGACACATCATCGGGTAGGACACATCATTGGGTAGGGCACATCACCTGGAAGGACACATCATCCGGTAGGACACATCATTGGGTAGGGCACACTATCTGGTATGGCACATCATCGGGTAGGGCACATTACCTGGTAGGACACATCATCGGGTAGGGCACATCATCGGGTAGGGCACATCATCTGGCAGGGCACATCAACTGGTAGGGCACATCACATGGTTGGGTATATAATCTAGAGTACATCCCCCAGTTGGTGCTGTTATTAACATTAGCGTGGCGGCTGTGTGAGCAGAACGCATTGGTTTGAATAAGTCACAGGTTAATCACACTAGAATGGATGGGTTCCGTACGTCGTTTGTGCTTTGCAGCTATAGAAGGCGTCTTTCGAAAGCTACTGTCTGTTTGTAGAAACCTCGTTTGTCGAAGTCATTACGAGTGCCAGTATTAGAATTCCGAAAACGACGAGCCTGTATATGTTAATATGTTCGACTATCGGGTTGGTGAGGTTTGAGTAAGTTGAAGGTTCATGAAACATGTATATGTTATTAGGGATGACATCCCCAAGATGGAGTATCTGACGCGATGTCTGAAGGAAGGGTTGAGGTTCCACTCGCCCGTTCCGTTCGTCAGTCGGAAACTGGAGAATCCTATGGACATTGACGGGAAGGTCTTTCCAATAGGAACAGCCATCTCATTGGGCTTATGGAATATTCATCACAACCCGGAAGTGTGGGAGGACCCGGATGTGTATGATCCTGATCGGTTTCTGCCCGAGAACATCCAGAAGAAGGACACCTACGCATACATCCCCTTCTCAGCTGGTCCACGGTAATACTACAGCTGTTTTTCGTGTGTCAAGCCAATCTCTCTGTAGGTTTCTGTTAACATAGTGATACATGGTAATACTACAACTGTTGTGTGTCAAGCCAGTCTCTCTGTAGGGTTAAGAAAAGCTCGTGGCCCATGGTACTACTACAGCTGTAGTTGGTGTGTCAAGTCAGTCTCTCTGTAGGTTTCTTTTGACATAGTGATACATGGTAATACTACAACTGTTGTGTGTCAAGCCAGTCTCTCTGTAGGGTTAAGAAAAGCTCGTGGCCCATGGTACTACTACAGCTGTAGTTGGTGTGTCAAGCCAATCTCTCTGTAGGTTTCTGTTGACATAGTGATACATGGTAATACTACAACTGTTGTGTCTCTCAGCTGGGTTAGGATAAAATTAGTGGCCCACGGAAATAATATAACTGTAGTTGTGTTACAAGACATAGGTTAGGATAACCTGACCCACACTACAGCTGTAGTCGGTGTGTCAAGCCAGTCTCTCCTTAGGTTTAAGATAACCTAGTGATCCATGTTAATACCACAGCTGTAGTCGGTGTGTCAAGCCAGTCTCTCCTTAGGTTTAAGATAACCTGGTGGCCAACGGAAATACTATAACTGTAGTTGGTGCGTCAAGCGGGTCTCTGTGTAGGGTTATGATAGCATAGTGGTACATGACAATGCTGCAGCTGTAGTTGGTGTGTCAAGCCATTATACCTGTAGGGGTAGCCTAACTTTGTGGCACACGGTTATACTACAGCTGTTCTTGGTCGTTCAAGCCAATCTATGTTGTGTTGGGATAACCGTGTGACCAATGGTAAAACCACAACTGTAGTTGGTGTGTCAAGCAAGTCCCACTGTAGGTGTATGATAACCTTGTGGCATACGGTGATACTACAGCTGTAGTTGGTGTGTCAAACAAGTCTCAGTGTAGGTGTATGATAACCTTGTGGCATACGGTGATACTACAGCTGTAGTTGGTGTGTCAAACAAGTCCCACTGCAGGTGTATGATAACCTTGTGACATACGGTGATACTACAGCTGTAGTTGGTGTGTCAAACAAGTCCCACTGCAGGTGTATGATAACCTTGTGGCATACGGTGATACTACAGCTGTAGTTGGTGTGTCAAACAAGTCCCACTGCAGGTGTATGATAACCTTGTGGCATACGGTGATACTACAGCTGTAGTTGGTGTGTCAAACAAGTCCCACTGCAGGTGTATGATAACCTTGTGGCATACGGTGATTAATACAGCTGTAGTTGGTGTGTCAAACAAGTCCCACTGCAGGTGTATGATAACCTTGTGGCATACGGTGATACTACAGCTGTAGTTGGTGTGTCAAACAAGTCCCACTGCAGGTGTATGATAACCTTGTGGCATACGGTGATACTACAGCTGTAGTTGGTGTGTCAAACAAGTCCCACTGTAGGTGTATGATAACCTTGTGGCATACGGCGATACTACAGCTGTAGTTGGTGTGTCAAACAAGTCTCTGTAGGTTCGGGATCGCTGAGATACCCAAGTAGTGAAACGTGTAGTATTACCTTTAGAAAGGCTTACGGGATATGGTCGATCTAAAGTCAAGACATAACTTCCTTCTTTCTTTAATGTACATACATACGACAAAACTCTTTCCTAGCTCAAGTGGTCACACGTTTTTAATGGTTGCCACAGTAGTCAATATTATAGAATTACTTCCTGTCGACCTCTAAATAATTGAGTTTGGGCCAGTCACACAAGTGGTTGCTAGTTGCCACAGTAGTCAATATTATAGAATTACTTCCTGTCGACCTCTAAGTAATTGAGTTTGGGCCAGTCACACAAGTGGTTGCTAGTTGCCACAGTAGTCAATATTATAGAATTACTTCCTGTCGGCCTCTAAATAATTGAGTTTGGGCCAGTCACACAAGTGGTTGCTAGTAGCCGCAGTGGTCAATATTACATCTGATTCCGGTCAGCCTCTAAACAATTGAGCGTGGGGCAGACCAGAATCGATTTGTGATGCTTAATTTCTGCTGGACGTATACACCTCATAAGAATATGTGAGTGAGTGAGTGAGTGAGTATGGTTTTACGCCGCTTTTAGCAATATTCCAGCAATATCACGGCGGGGGACACCAGAAATGGGCTTCACACATTGTACCCATTCCGGGCATCGAACCCGGGTCTTCGGCGTGACGAGCGAACGCTTTAACCACTAGGCTACCCGACCGCCCCCACGAGAATATGTGAGAATATTTGAGGGTGTATGATTGCTTATGTCCCTGTTTACTTTTCAGAAACTGTATCGGACAACATTTTGCCCTGCACGAGCAAAAGGTCATGCTTGGAAGAATTCTTCAAAGGTATACTTTCTTTAATTATTTATTATATATGATTTCAGCCACTGGTATTTAAAAAGAAGATAATTCTAACATGGAGTAAATCTACAAATCAAAATGATCGTTTCGTTATTAAATCGTTTGAGCAAGCTGGCGTGAAACATGAATTAACATGAGGGGGACACATTTATCCACGTGGTAATTTATTCTAGTTTTGAATGTTTATACAATAAAGAACAGGAATATTTGTTTTGTTGTTCAGATACAAGTTAGAGGCAGATAGAAGCCACACAGTCGGTCGAAGGGATGCCGGCTTAATGAAGTCGACTGAAGGACTGTGGGTGTTCGCCAAACACAGACACTGAACATTCCAGTCCAAGGCGGACATTCTGTTTCCATGACTACGATGAAACTGATACTAATGGACATGAATATATTGAACTTGATTGTTTTGGATTGATCATAAATGTTTGCACTCTGTTTTATGCTCTCAATAAACACGATAACATGATTGTTTGATGGTATACCAAATTGGTATCAGCAGTATACAATAACAATACCAAAATACCAGCACTATTCATATAAATGCTAAGTGTTTCGGAATCAAGCTGAATACCTGAACATATTTGGAGTAGCGAAAAGGTGTCACGATCATTTAATAAAATGCTAAACAGAAACATTGCCACCGTGTCTTACAGTTATAGGAATACAACTGTAAATTAAACTCCCAATCTTTTGTGGAACAACCTTTTCTGAACCCGTCCTCTGATAATATGACCCGTGAAGATCCGGGGTAGAATAGGTCTTCAGCAACCCATGTTTGCCGTAAAAGGCGATTATGCTTGTCGTAAGAGGCGACTAACGGGATCGGGTGGTCAGGCTCGCTGACTTGGTTCATGCATTTCATCGATCCCAATTGCGTGGATCGATGCTCATGATAGTAATCACTGGATTATCTGGTCCAAACTCGATTATTTAAAGACCGCCGTCATATGTTGCTGAGTGCGGCGTTAAACAACAAACCAACCAACCAATTCTGATAATTACTATGGCTTCCACAAACAATGGAACAATATTCTAGCAGACTGATTCCACCATAATTCTGCATTAGAACAGGGTTGAACAAAAAGATTAAGAGACCTTCAACCGCAATATTTGAATGTGTTAAGTATTCACTAATTGCATTATGATTTGTAGTTTATACGCTGCGTTATCATATTTAAAGCTGGGTCACTCTAGATGGATTCAGCTGTTTTATACATATTGGATTCAGCATTCGTATCATCACCATTCCCTTCAGTATGTGTTTCAAATATTCTTAGAAAGAGTCCACGTACGTTGCATTTTGGAAGTATTATCTTTCATGCGTATTAAACCGTTATGATGACGTCAAGAGAATGTTGTTGCAGCTGATACTGAACCATTCCGAATTTGCATTTTGTGCAAATAAAGTAGGTCATTATGCTAAATTATATGGAAATTATGTATCAACCAGAACATGGTTAACGTTGAAGTCGGAGAAGTCAATCGTTCACTGATGACGTTGTTGATGTCATCTTTCCAGGACTCCCATATTGGGTCGAAAACCCGACAATGTTATGATGCACATCTGATGTTAGTGGGTCAAAGTCAAGTATATCACAGCTATTGATGCAAGTGAATATACAAGCTGTACACAACAAACACATAGCCTACTGTGCTTGCATCTTTGCATGTTAATTTTCCAACTCCCCTGTCAGATTCCATTCTTCCATGTTCTATGTGTACATGTTTTATAATGTTTTTTATATGTTTACACTCTGAGATATGGGGCGTCTATCTGTGCAGAGCTATTGAGCCGGTACACTTATAAGCATGTATTATAGCTTATGGTGAATGTGGATGTGTACCTTCATATGAATGTTCCAGTACATTAAAATAATTAAATATAGATTAAACATTCTGAAATTGTTTTGTAATAGATTGCCCAGAAAATGTCATAACATGATGTTGTTATACGAAAGTCATAAGGCTAAAAAACTGTGTTTATAATGCACAATTTCTTTTTACATTAATGTGGATATGAATGATCAAAGTGCACAAGAAATAAATATGAACTATTGTTATTTTAATGTATTTCTACTGTAGATACGTCTGGTAAATGTAACTCATATAAGCTATTCAAAATCTCATATGTACACTAAAACATCTTTTGGTGTTAATCTAAGAAAATATGCACAGTTGCGATGTAGTTCCCACGAACTTATGATTGAATTGGGAAGACATAGAAAAATACATAGACAATTATGATTTTGCAATCATTGCAATATAGATCGTAACGTAATTTACTTCTTGTCAATATGAAGTAAATGTGATAATCTAAGCAGTGTATATTTAAAAAGATAAATCCCAATATCCACAAATTTGTCTCTGTGTTATAGCGCAAACCATTTCAATATTTTTATTTAAAATAGTGCAAACCATGTCAATACTTTTATTTAACATTTCATTTATCTAAATACCTAACTGGTTCAATATGTTTCCAAGTGCACAGAAATTCTATGCCCTTTGTCTGTTTAATATATTCAGCAAACATTCGGCGTATCCCCTCTTATCATAAGCCCCTCCGGGCAGGACTCTTAATCTCCAGCGCTATCTATAAATTTCAATTAACACCTCCTTGCGTCGCCGGATCTTACGTATATACATACACGTGGGACAATGACAAAACCCGACTGACATGGTCAACCAGGGAGACAGCCAGAAGGTAAGTGACAGAGCGAGTCTCCACCCGGGAACATTGGCCACTCGGTCCCGGTGTGTTTTCTGTCACGTTATTATCAACATGTACCTTTTGGACTTATTCCAAACCATCGACAATAAACATGGCTGCTGTCGTCTTAAACTTCACCCCTGAGTTTTGTCATCCGTCATCACCCTGAGCTACCATCCGAGGGCCGACACTTCCGCCTTTGGACATCTGTAATAGCTTCAGGTAACATTGATGTTATGGGAAATTTGTCTGGACATAGTCATCATGCCATGTCTGTTAGAAAGTAATTTATATTTTTTACAAGCGCTTCCTAAATGCTTTGTACTATGGCCTTTTGACTCATAGTGTCTTATGAATAAATTATCTTTAAATGTATATGATATGATATGACAGACAGACAGACGGACGGACGGACGGACGGACAGACAGACAGACAGACAGACAGATAGACAGACAGGCAGAGTATTCCAACAACAGGCCACCGGCCCATGATACATTAAGGATTCTGTTGAAGATAAATAAATAAATATAAATAAATAAAATAGGAGCAATATAATGTCTTGTTGATTTCATAAAATCAGTTACAGATTTATTATATCTTAAATTGTGCAAACTCATAAGGACTTCCTCATCAGCGAAAGGCATGTTAAGATCATCACATGCAGTAGAACATGGATAAAAAGAACTACAAGGGACCGGAGAAATCAGTTCGTTATATACGTTGTTCGTATTCTGTATATTTGTGTTATATAAAGCTGGATCCTCGCCATGTATATCTGATATCAGAGAGTTATAATCACAATCGGTGTGTTTCTCAATTCTGAGAAGATTTGGAAATGATCAAGCCACTGGTCTGGGGTAGCAACATTCGATATTCCCTAGACACATCTACAATTTTTTGGGTTGTTCCTATCAATAACCAGCTCATTCCTTTGTTTCTCATAATAATCTTCTCCTTTGGTGGCGCATTCGGGTAGTCTAGTGGTTAAAGCGTTCGCTCGTGACGCCGAAGACCCGCGTTTGATTCCCGACATGGGTACGATAAGTGAAGCCCATTTCTGGTGTCCCTCGCTGGAATATTGCTAAAAGCGGCGTAAAACCATACGCACTCTCCTTTGGTAGAAAATAAAGTAATAAACAATCTACGTAGCACTCTGAAGTTGTCAATACCCTCTTATAGTCTCGGTGAGCTCTTGAAGCTGCATATTGTTTTGTTTAATAGTCTCACACTCTTCATCCCACCATGGAGGATGCTTCTGTGTTGTCATAACGTAACTGTTAGCCATTAATACCTTTTGGTATGGCATGCAGAAGATTGGTACAAGTCTGTCAGTACCCTGTGTTATCTGTATTCACTTCAATCAGATACATCAGCTCTTTATACATTGGGAAATATAACGCTTGAAAAGTGTTTAGAAACTGCTGTGATTATCATCATTCCACTCATATCATATTAACTCATATTATGTAAACAGAACAGAACAATGGGAAATGAGTAGAGTCGTCTCTATGATGAAGTCAAAATCAGAAAAGTGAGTAAACAGCCCAGACCTAACAATACTGTAATCCACTACACTTTGCCCATTGTGAGTAACACAAGTAAACGGACAAGCAGTATTCAATGTGTGAGTGAGTGAGTGAGTATGGTTTTACGCCGCTTTTAGCAATATCCCAGCAATATCACGGCGGGGGACACCAGAAATGGGCTTCACACAATGTACCCATGTCGGGAATCGAACCCGGGACTTCGGCGTGACAAGCGAACGCTTTAACCACTAGGCTACCCGACCGCCCCTATTCAATGTGAGTATGCCACAAGTACATCGGAGGTCTGCAAGCTTTAAACCAAATTTGAGTTTAGTTATTTTTTGTTGATCTGGGGACATGAAAATTATAAAAAAAATATCACTCGGATAATCATTAGAATAGTCAACAGCGTATCGGGTATGTGAGCCAGGCAATCTTTCATTCTAGCATTAAAGTCTCCCAGCAAAATTATATCAGATTCGGGGTAGTCAGCTGCAACAGTTTCCATGTACACACTAGAAGAGTTTATTCCAGCCATGTCATTGTTCACATATGAAGGTGAGTTTTCAGGAGATGTATACACAAAACATAGAAGTGTTTCACTTTTCAACCCAAGCAATGATGTCTTAAAATCGAACACAATACAGATTTGGTAATCATCATATATACGACATAAAGTGTCTCTTGTAATCAGAACTTTAAAAATAAATACTGTGGTCCCTCCCTCCGTTTCCTTTTGTTGTATGGACTGTTGAATGCTCGAAATCCGAACAGAAAATCCGTGAAATCAGCTTGTTTCTGGACAAACGTTTCAAACAATCCTGCAATGTCATTCTTGCTGAGGAAGTCTTTGAATTGCAGATCAGATGTGTATTTAAATAAGCCTTCTATATGCCATGAAGGTATGCTCAGCTGTGTTTGGCTTTGGCCATATCCTCATGAGTCGTTCATGTTGTTCTTGTTAGACGTTAGTATTAAGAATTGGAAATTGTGAAATAAGGGAATATTACAACTAACGACCTCGTTCCATTGTCCTCAGACTGCCAAGGGTCAAACCGATAACGCCTATCGGACAGGACCCGGATCTCTCATGGTGCGTGTCTGATAGAGTTAGGCAAACAAATATAAGACTTCCGGTTACGGTTCGTAACTGGTTGTAGAAGCAAGATGCTGATCATATTTGTGGCGGCTCTTCCGTATCTGATAGGTTAAGACACATACAGGGTGTATTGCCTATAAACAACTCACTACTACATACAGGCTGTTCCAATTGATAAGGTACAGAATTGCTTCATATGCAATATTTAAAACGAAATTTTTCATCATGAATTTCATAATAGGATTGCTAATTATAATAATGACAAAACGAATACAAGAAAATGATTTGTTTCATAAAGTATTAATCGAAAGTAGGAGTTGCTAAAGTGTTCTCTTGTTACGTTAAGCCCACTCACTCACTCACTCACTCACTCACTCACTCACTCCAAGCTTCCCACCCACCCACCCACTCACTCACTCACCCACTCACTCACCATTACGTTCTTTGGCATTTATGCGCTTGATAAACAGTGTTCAACATTTCTCGCCGTGTTTTCTTCCATGTATCATTTAAAGCCTAGTCTCTTGCATGTTTCATTTAACGCCTAGTCTTTCCTTTACGTAATCGTCATTAATTATATATAAAAATATGTGGTTTTGCACCCTATGATTGATGTTGTTAAAATGAACATATGCCTACACTCAAAATATCTCACCAGCAAACGTCGATCGTAACTATCGTTTAAAGGATTTAAATTGGGGTGAGTACTCCTTGTTAACAGGGGGATGTAGATGAAATTTAGTTTAGTGTTCAGTGCGTGTTGGGATCAATAAGGTCAGACCATATTTTCCCATTTCAAACATTTATTTTGGGCAAAGAAATGCCCACAGATGTTTCTGTAATTTGTGTGATATACAACTTGCTAGGCATAATTTTGATTTTAATCACTGTAATAAATAGGATATGTGACAGCTAGTTTGCCGAAAACAGGATAAACGTACATTAAAGTTGTGAGTGAGCGAGCAAGCGTGCATCCGTGCATCCGTGCATCCGTGTGGGCTTTATGTAGCTACAAATAAGTTTTGAGTGGGTATGGTTTTACGCCACTTTAAGCAATATCAGCAGAAATGGGCTTCCCACATAGTACCCATGTGGGGAATACAACCCAGGTCTTCGGCGCGACGAACGTTTTAAACACCAGGCTACCACACCGCCTAAATATATTTTGATTGATAAACCCAGTTCTAAAAGCTTCAAAAACATTCACATGCAAAATGTGTTGAAGTATTAGTAAAAGTGCATGTGTAAATGGGATTAAAACGCTATTTGAGTTAAATCACGGCGTGTCAGCTTCCTGTTTGAGCAATGCCCTGATCACAGGAAAGTGGGACAGGTCTTAGACCACCGTTTACCACTTTGGTGTAACTCACGAGCAAGGGCAGGTGAGGGCGCCAGGCCAAATGTAAGATTCGAACCCACCATCATATATGATCCTTGCACGACTAAGGGACGCTATTCTGCAACATCCCCCCCCCTCACCCACCACACACACATACCTTAAATGATTGAAAATGAAATTAGTATTCAAAGGTACGTTAAGGTATGTTAAGAGTGAGTGATGTGAGTGAGGATTTACGCATTGCAATAATGTTATCAGAACTGCAATAATAAACGGCCTGTCAGCGCATTGAATAACCGAAATGCGAATTTTAATCGGCTTTTTCTGTCCACTAAATGCTTAAATGCACTCCTTGAAGTTATAAAATGCCCGATCAATTGCTCAAACCAGTGAGATTTGAAGATTGTTGGTATTTGAATGTGTCTAATGTTAACAGAAAAACCTTAGTGACGCAGCTCGTACACACTTGTTAGAAACACGAGCATGGAGATGGCCTTACAAGAACTGTGTACAGCAATGTTTATCTAGACTATATGAACTCTCAACCCTTGTCCCGATCGTTAGCAGGTGGCTGTGACATAGGTCAAAAACTGGAACACACCGAGCCATGAAGCATTAAGATAATCTTTTTTCTCTATCACAGGGTGTTATTCAAGACGTCGACTCCGCTAGACTACTGAGCGTAATAGAAGACCCACATGTAGACGTTACGTCACAACCATTGACTGGGCACATGAAATAGGTAAATGAGCGACACACTTTCTCGGTGGAGTTGGGCACTGGGGTGGCGACAGAGAGAGAGGCTTGTCAACATGGACCCGATGGAGCTTGTATCTCGTTTCAATCGTAAAACTGTTCTCCAGGCTGTAGGGACATCTGTCCTCCTGTACGTGGTGTACCGCGTAATCAGGTTCCTGGTCTGGTATCGGCGTCTCTTCAGTTTCTTCAACAGGTGTCAGGGCGTCAAGGACTTCTCCTGGAGGACCGGCAACCTGCATTTGGTGAGCCAGTTTACCTCGTCCCTGGTCATTGTTGTTATAGGTCAAAGTCGACTAGGGTGGTGTATACAAATAGTTATATGTACTGTTACGTCTGTTACTGCTGCTGTTACTGCGTCGTTTACTGCTGCAAGTGGTTCTACTATGGTGTCTCTGCTGCTGCTAAAACCATCACTCTTAGTCAAGACAGGATTACGCTTCTGTGTCATGATAAATATTAGGAATGAATGATCATGAAATTAACCATTTCCGTGAATATGGGGAGAAAATGATTAGTTATTACAGCTGTTTTATAGTTCATAGGTGAGACCATACAAAAAACTTGGTGAGTTGTGTTTGATGATGGTGTATCTATGTGCGGCATTTATTGAGTTGTGCATGATGATTGTGTATGTCTGTGCTGCACTTGGTGACTAGTGTTTGATGGTGATGTATGTATGTGCTGCACTTGGTGAGTTGTGTTTGATGATGGTGTATGTATGTGCTTCACTTAGTGAGTTGTGTTTGATGATGGTGTATGTATGTGCTGCACTTGGTGAGTTGAGTTTGTAATGGTGTGTGTATGTGCTGCACTTGGTGAGTTGTGTTTGATGGTGATGTATGTATGTGCTGCACTTGGTGAGTTGTGTTTGATGATGGTGTATGTATGTGCTGCACTTGGTGAGTTGTGTTTGATGATGGTGTGTGTATGTGCTTCACTTAGTGAGTTGTGTTTGATGATGATGTATGTATGTGCTGCACTTGGTGAGTTGAGTTTGTGATGGTCTGTGTATGTGCTGCACTTGGTGAGTTGAGTTTGTAATGGTGTGTGTATATGCTGCACTTGGTGAGTTGTGTTTGATGGTGATGTATGTATGTGCTGCACTTGGTGAGTTGTGTTTGTGATGGTGTGTGTATGTGCTGCACTTGGTGAGTTGTGTTTGTGATGGTGTGTGTATGTGCTGCACTTGGTGAGTTGAGTTTGTGATGGTGTGTGTATGTGCTGCACTTGGTGAGTTGAGTTTGTAATGGTGTGTGTATGTGCTGCACTTCGTGAGTTGAGTTTGTAATGGTGTATGTATGTGCTGCACTTGGTGAGTTGTGTTTGATGGTGATGTATGTATGTGCTGCACTTGGTGAGTTGTGTTTGATGATGGTGTATGTATATGCTGCACTTGGTGAGTTGTGTTTGATGGTGATGTATGTATGTGCTGCACTTGGTGAGTTGTGTTTGATGATGGTGTGTGTATGTGCTTCACTTAGTGAGTTGTGTTTGATGATGGTGTGTGTATGTGCTGCACTTGGTGAGTTGAGTTGGTGATGGAGTGTGTATGTGCTTCACTTAGTGAGTTGTGTTTGTTGATGATTTGTGTATGTGCTTCACTTAGTGAGTTGTGTTTGTTGATGATGTATGTATGTGCTGCACTTGGTGAGTTGAGTTTGTGATTGTGTGTGTATGTGCTTCACTTAGTGAGTTGTGTTTGTAATGGTGTGTGTATGTGCTGCACTTGGTGAGTTGTGTTTGATGATGGTGTGTGTATGTGCTGCACTTGGTGAGTTGAATTTGTGATGGTGTGTGTATGTGCTTAACTTAGTAAGTTGTGTTTGTAATGGTGTGTGTATGTGCTGCACTTGGTGAGTTGAGTTTGTGATGGTGTGTGTATTTGCTGCACTTGGTGAGTTGTGTTTGTGATGGTGTGTGTATGTGCTGCATTTGGTGAGTTGTGTTTGTGATTGTGTGTGTATGCGCTGCACTTGGTGAGTTGTGTTTGTGATGGTGTGTGTATGTGCTGCACTTGGTGAGTTGTGTTTGATGATGGTGTGTGTATGTGCTTCACTTAGTGAGTTGTGTTTGTTGATGATTTGTGTATGTGCTTCACTTAGTGAGTTGTGTTTGTTGATGATGTATGTATGTGCTGCACTTGGTGAGTTGAGTTTGTGATGGTCTGTGTATGTGCTGCACTTGGTGAGTTGAGTTTGTAATGGTGTGTGTATATGCTGCACTTGGTGAGTTGTGTTTGATGGTGATGTATGTATGTGCTGCACTTGGTGAGTTGTGTTTGTGATGGTATGTGTATGTGCTGCACTTGGTGAGTTGTGTTTGTGATGGTGTGTGTATGTGCTGCACTTGGTGAGTTGAGTTTGTGATGGTGTGTGTATGTGCTGCACTTGGTGAGTTGAGTTTGTAATGGTGTGTGTATGTGCTGCACTTGTTGAGTTGAGTTTGTAATGGTGTATGTATGTGCTGCACTTGGTGAGTTGTGTTTGATGGTGATGTATGTATGTGCTGCACTTGGTGAGTTGTGTTTGATGATGGTGTATGTATATGCTGCACTTGGTGAGTTGTGTTTGATGGTGATGTATGTATGTGCTGCACTTGGTGAGTTGTGTTTGATGATGGTGTATGTATGTGCTGCACTTGGTGAGTTGTGTTTGATGGTGATGTATGTATGTGCTGCACTTGGTGAGTTGTGTTTGATGATGGTGTATGTATGTGCTGCACTTGGTGAGTTGAGTTTGTGATGGAGTGTGTATGTGCTTCACTTAGTGAGTTGTGTTTGTTGATGATTTGTGTATGTGCTTCACTTAGTGAGTTGTGTTTGTTGATGATGTATGTATGTGCTGCACTTGGTGAGTTGAGTTTGTGATTGTGTGTGTATGTGCTTCACTTAGTGAGTTGTGTTTGTAATGGTGTGTGTAAGTGCTGCACTTGGTGAGTTGTGTTTGATGATGGTGTGTGTATGTGCTGCACTTGGTGAGTTGTGTTTGTGATGGTGTGTGTATGTGCTGCACTTGGTGAGTTGTGTTTGATGATGGTGTGTGTATGTGCTGCACTTGGTGAGTTGAATTTGTGATGGTGTGTGTATGTGCTTAACTTAGTAAGTTGTGTTTGTAATGGTGTGTGTATGTGCTGCACTTGGTGAGTTGAGTTTGTGATGGTGTGTGTATTTGCTGCACTTGGTGAGTTGTGTTTGTGATGGTGTGTGTATGTGCTGCACTTGGTGAGTTGTGTTTGTGATGGTGTGTGTATGCGCTGCACTTGGTGAGTTGTGTTTGTGATGGTGTGTGTATGTGCTGCACTTGGTGAGTTGTGTTTGTGATGGTGTGTGTATGTGCTGCACTTGGTGAGTTGTGTTTGATGATGGTGTGTGTATGTGCTGCACTTGGTGAGTTGTGTTTGTGATGGTGTGTGTATGTGCTGCACTTGGTGAGTTGTGTTTGATGATGGTGTGTGTATGTGCTGCACTTGGTGAGTTGTGTTTGTGATAGTGTGTGTATGTGCTGCACTTGGTGAGTGCTTTGGAGATACTTGTATCATGCAGCAACCACACGGCTTCGTTCTAGTACCCGCAGGATTTTGAGAAGCGTGCCCTGGTAGACAAGGAATGGATGAAGAGGTTCCCCAAGTACTGTAGGATCTGGAGAGGGCCCCTCCTGCCTATCATCAGCGTCTACCACCCTGATACTATCAAAGCCATCATCAAGTCTGCAGGTGGGTGGCGCTGTGGATGCCGATATTCCGATTTCTCCTAATGAAAGCGATTGAGTTGGGGTTAACGCCGCTTTGAACAATATGTCACTTACGTCATGGCGTGTCAGCTTAATGTTGGAGGAGTGCCAGAAGTAATGTAGGCCTTAAACGTCATCTCACGTCATTCAAGCACGGGAAACGAGAAACATAATAAGGTCGAACCGGGATTTGGATCCACGATCAAAGGCCTGAGGGATGTAGCTCTGCACGGCGACTTCCAACACCACTGGAATACACAGCCCCTTCAAGTTGTTTTATTGATGATAATACGACGTATGTTTCCCATTTTGTTTTGTAGAAAAGTTAATGCCAAAATAAGTATCAACAGATTGTTGTTGTTGTTGTTTTTCCCCCGGAGTTTATTTTTTTAATTTTTTTTTCAGAACCAAAGCCGAGGGGTCTTTTAGGCCCATATGAATCATTAGTGCCCTGGCTGGGGGAGGGTCTCCTGATTGCGGGGGGACAACGCTGGTACCGATCTCGACGCCTCCTCACCCCCGCCTTCCACTTCGACATCCTCAAACCCTACGTCGACGTCTCCAACAACGCCATTGACACCATGATGGTATTACTACTTGGCAGCTCATGTCTTACACGTTGTTGAGTTATCACTCACGGCTGAATTGAGAAAAAAACGTTTATTGTAATGATAATAATAATAATAATAATAATAATAATAATAATAATAATAATAATAATAATGCAGAAGGCTGCAGTGTAGGGGAGACTTCACATTCTCCGGAAAGTTCTGGGTGGGTTTGACTAGGCAGCGCTTCCTGGGAGAAGTCCAATTCGCTGTGTGGGCTGCGTGTAGAGGGGGCAAGGGCCCTGAGCTGATGATGAGCCTAACCAGCCTGATTGGGCCAGGATCACCCAAACCCTCTTTGCTGCAATTTTTAATGTTAATCTGTAAAAATAATAATGAACATTGAATATGACAGCCTTTAACCTGTTAGGTTTCAGCGCTAAGAGTAACCATGTATCATGCATATGAATAACTCTTTGCACAGGAGAAGATTGACAAGCACGTGGAGGAAGGCACCAGTTTTGAATTGTTCAACATGATCAGCATGTGTACATTTGATATCCTGTTGAGGTGCGCCATGTCTGTCGAGGAAAACATACAACAACAGGGGTAGGTATATAAAATGTTGTTTTTTGTTTTCTTTTGAATTTTGATCATTTTTCTTCATGTGGCTATATATTTATATTTACTGTTTTATGTTTCGGCTTACTCCCAAAATTATAATAGTTGCATACAAAAATATAATCGCTACATTGATTTTATTTTGTGTTGTAGGAACACACATCCATATCTCAACGCAGTCAATGAATTACTTACTCTGAATGTAAACAGGGCCTTGTGAGTATATATGTCGGTTGCCATAACATAGTCACTTCCACAGTTCGCCATAGATATTACTATACGGAAATGGAATAAGAATCAAGGAGTTGGGTTGGATATTCAGTGATCCGTTGATATAATGTTATCACTGTTTGCCTTTTATGCCCAATGGAACCTATTTCAGCAGATAATCGAGGCGATGTTTTATATTTTCATACACGATGAGAAACATTTTTGAGTGAGTTGGGTTTAACGCCGCTTTTAACAGTATTCCGGTTATATCGCGACGTGTCAGCTTAATGTGGGAGGAAAGCCCGAAGTGATGCAGGTCTTAGACGTTTACCACTTCGGTGAAACCCACGAGCAAGGGTATGGTGCTGACAAACCTAGAAACATAATCGGGGCGAACCGGGATTCGAACCCACAATCATAGGTTTCTGGCGTACCCAAGGGACGCAACTCTGCACAGCGATTCGCGGCGCCTTAGACGACTGTCCCAGAAACATATTTGAGAAAAGAATGGTTTGGAATCAGTTGAATGTAAACTTGTGCGTTTGATGTGGATAACATAACTCTACAAGACATGCTATCTTTCAGCAACCCATGGCATGCTTTTGACTTCATCTTTTACAACTCCTCCGAGGGGAAGAAGTTTAGGAAGCATTGTGACTTTGTACATCGCTGGGCGGAAGACATCATCGACAAGAGGCGACAGACCTTGGTCAGTGTCTAACTTGAAAAACTATTTATATAATTCATTTCAATGCCAATGGTTGACAGAATAGGCCCCTAATGACATTGTACTGAGGATGTAACCTTGTGCTGTGTGTGTAAGATTGTGCTCCGAATGTAACATTGTACTGTGTGTTGTACTGTAGGTAACATTATACTGTGTATTTGTACTGTAAGTGCCATTGTACTGTGTATGTTGTACTCTATGTAATATTGTACCTTGCATGCTGTACTGCATGCAAAATTTGTACTTTGTATGCTGTACTGTTTGTAACATTGTACTATGTATGTTGTACGTTATGTACCATTGTAATGTGTATGTAACATTGTACTGGGCATGTAACATTGACCTGTGTTTAAGATTGTCCTATGTGCATGTGTACTGTCTCTATGCAGGAGAGAGATGGACCCCCCAAGACCCGCTACCTCGACTTCTTGGACGTCCTGCTGAGTGCCCGAGATGCTGATGGCAAGGGCCTCACCCCGCTGGAGATCAGGAATGAAGTCGACACGTTCCTCTTTGAAGGTATGAAACAGCAACTTCAATGTGTTCATGCAAACCATTAACATTAACTATCAAGTGGACAATATTTGAAGAGACCTGAGTTAGAATATTGTCTGTTTCCTTCAAGTCGACAAGTCTGTTACAAGTATGAAGATCAACTGCCAAGAGGCATGGGGTGAGGTGTTATGGGGTTTAACGTTGCTTCCAAGATTATTGCACTCATATTGCGACGTGCATGCACGTGCATGCACGTGTGTGTGTGTGTGTGTGTGTGTGTGTGTGTGTGTGTGTGTGTGTGTGTGTGTGTGTGTGTGTGTGTGTGTGTGTGTGTGTGTGTGTGTGTGTGTGTGTGTGTGAGACTGCTTGTACTAGTCCGGACTGAAGCCGATTTATAGTGCTAGCCCACTGAGATACCATGCCGCAGTTTAACATGAATACCCCACTCAGACACAGTATACTGATTCCGAGCCGTCCAGTCCTTGTTTTTGCCCCTTTAGGTAGAGCGCCAGACAGGGTAACAACAAGTACCATCTTTTAACGTCTTTTGGAATGACGCGCCGGGGATCGAACCCGGACCTTCCACTCTCCGGGCTGACGCTCTACCACTAGACCACAAATGCATAGGGGGGACAGGGGGACCCAGGGGCTTACAGCTTTGGGTTTTTCCCCAAACTACGCTGACTCTACGTGGAATGATTGGAACACTGTACTAGCGGACCATGATCACTCAACAACTGAGAGTCCAACAACGACGTTAAACCCAACTCACATTTTACCGAAGAAGCACGATAAGGAAACCATCAACGGTTCTGTCTCGAATTAACAATATTAAAGCCTAATCATATTACAGTAAAGTAGGGTTATAACGAACTCAAAGGGACTACTAATTTTAGTTCGTTATAACCGTAGTTCGTTATAAGCATATATACAGTATAACAACAGCAAAAAGTCGGGACCAAAAAAGTAAGTTCGTTATATCCATCAGTTCCTTTCAAGTGTGTTAGTTATAACCGTAGTTTACTGTAGTTATATGAGATATATTTTAGCAGATACATATTAATAGGGGGCTATTGAGGCGACCCAATCATATTCCAGTCCCAGAATGTATGTGTGTGTGATGTCAGTGCTGTGCGTGATGATTGTCTAAAGTAAGGGTGTGAACAAAAGCAATTGTGTGAATCAACATGCCTTGAACTCAAATTCAAATTCATTCTCACGAAATCATAACTTCAAATATTGTGCCATACTGTGCCTGTGATGATAATGATAATATAGATATTAATTTTAGAATGAACCACTGTGTTTCCTGAACAGGTCACGACACAACGACCAGTGGGATATCATGGACGCTGTTTACCATGGCCTCCAAACCCGAGTTCCAGACCCGGATACAGAAGGAACTGGACACACTGCTGGACGGAAGAGAGTCCAAGCACATCACCTGGTAGGGCACATCACATAATAGAACAGATCACCTGGTAGGGCACATCACCTGGTAGGGCACATCACTTGGTAGGGTACATTATCATCCGGTAGGGAACATCACCTGGTAGGGAACATCACCTGGTAGGGTACATCACGTGGTAGGGCACATCACCTGGTAGGGTACATCACCTGGTAGGGCACATCACCTGGTAGGGCACATCACCTGGTAGGGCACATCACCTGGTAGGGCACATCACCTGGTAGGGCACATCACCTGGTAGGGTACATCACGTGGTAGGGCACATCACCTGGTAGGGTACATCACCTGGTAGGGCACATCACCTGGTAGGGCACATCACCTGGTAGGGCACATCACCTGGTAGGGTAAATCACCTGGTAGGGCACATCACCTGGTAGGGTACATCACCTGGTAGGGCACATCACCTGGTAGGGTAAATCACCTGGTAGGGCACATCACCTGGTAGGGTACATCACCTGGTAGGAAACATCACTTGGTAGGGCACATCACCTGGTAGGGCACATCAGCTGGTAGGAAACATCATTTGGTAAGGCACATCACTTGGTAGGGCACATCACGTGGTAGGGCACATCAGCTGGTAGGACACATCACCTGGTAGGGCACATCACGTGGTAGGGCACATCACCTGGTAGGGAACATCACCTGGTAGGGCACATCACGTGGTAGGGCACATCACCTGGTAGGGCACATCACCTGGTAGGGCACATCACGTGGAAGGGCACATCACCTGGTAGGGCACATCAGCTGGTAGGAAACATCACTTGGTAGGGCACATCAGCTGGTAGGACACATCACCTGGTAGGGCACATCACCTGGTAGGACACATCACCTGGTTGGCAGACTAGTACTCAGCATCTTGTAGTACAACAGTATCTTGTAGAGTAGTACAACAATATCTTGTAGAGTAGTAAAACAGCATCTTGTAGAGTAGTACAACAGTATCTTGTAGAGTAGTACAACAGTATCTTGTAGAGTAGTACAACAGTATCTGATAGAGTATTACAACAGCATCTTGTAGAGTAGTACAACAGTATCTTGTAAAGTAGTACAACAGCATCTTGTAGAGCAGTACTACAGTATCTTGTAGAGTAGTACGACAGTATCTGGTAGAGTATTACAACAGTATCTTGTAGAGTAGTACTACAGCATCTTGTAGAGTAGTACTACAGTATCTGGTAGAGTAGTACAACATTATTTGGTAGAGTAGTACAACAGTATCCTGTAGAGTAGTACAACAGCATCTTGTAGAGTAGTACTACAGTATCTGGTAGAGTAGTACAACAGTATCTTGTAGAGTAGTACTACAGTATCTTGTAGAGTAGTACTACAACATCTTGTAGAGTAGTACTACAGCATCTTGTAGAGTAGTACTACAGCATCTTGTAGAGTAGTTCTTCCGTACCTGGTAGAGTAGTACTACAGTATCTTGTAGAGTAGTTCTTCCGTACCTGGTAGAGTAGTACTACAGTAGTACTACTTATGTAGGTTATTGTTGGACGACATATCAAAGTTTAAGATTGTGAATGATATGGAGGACCATTGTGTGACAAAGACCTTTCATTAAAGCCTCAGAAACAATCACATCAATCCTAAATAAATTTACTTCACCAAAAGACAGTGATAACTGTCTCTCCGCTTCCGAAGCAGATGGACATGGGTTAGAGGCACTCAGGGTTCCCGACTATAACGCCAAGACACATGGGTTAGAGGCACTCAGGGTTCCCGACTATAACGCCAAGACACATGGGTTAGAGGCACTCAGGGTTCCCGACTATAACGCCAAGACACATGGGTTAGAGGCACTCAGGGTTCCCGACTATAACGCCAAGACACATGGGTTAGAGGCACTCAGGGTTCCCGACTATAACGCCAAGACACATGGGTTAGAGGCACTCAGGGTTCCCGACTATACAACAAGACACATGGGTTATAGGCACTCAGGGTTCCCGACTATACAACAAGACACATGGGTTAGAGGCACTCAGGGTTCCCGACTATAACGCCAAGACACATGGGTTAGAGGCACTCAGGGTTCCCGACTATAACGCCAAGACACATGGGTTAGAGGCACTCAGGGTTCCCGACTATACAACAAGACACATGGGTAAGAGGCACTCAGGGTTCCCGACTATACAACAAGACACATGGGTTAGAGGCACTCAGGGTTCCCGACTATAACGCCAAGACACATGGGTTAGAGGCACTCAGGGTTCCCGACTATAACGCCAAGACACATGGGTTAGAGGCACTCAGGGTTCCCGACTATACAACAAGACACATGGGTTAGAGGCACTCAGGGTTCCCGACTATACAAGAAGACACATGGGTTAGAGGCACTCAGGGTTCCCGACTATACAACAAGACACATGGGTTAGAGGCACTCAGGGTTCCCGACTATAACGCCAAGACACATGGGTTGTTCTTAATTCCAACACGGAACCAAATCAATAAATAGAGACCCATATGTTAGGATTTAAAAATGTTTTAGAGATCTGCATTGGTCAGAGCGGCCACAGACGTAACGACAACTGAACAAAAACGTGTAAACCTGTGCCTATGTGGGATTCATAAGTCTGAAAATGATCATTATCAGTGTTCGCCTTTTCTATTTGTTACAAGGGATGACATCCCCAAGATGGAGTATCTGACGCGATGTCTGAAGGAAGGGATGAGGTTTCACTCGCCTGTTCCGGCCATTCTTCGGAAACTGGAAAATCCAATGGATATTGATGGAAAAGTCTTTCCAGTAGGAACCCTCGTCGGCATTAATATATGGAAGGTTCATCACAACCCGGAAGTGTGGGAGGACCCGGATGTGTATGATCCCGATCGGTTTCTGCCTGAGAACATCAAGAAGAAGGACACCTACGCATACATCCCCTTCTCAGCTGGCCCACGGTAATACTACATCACTGTCAAGACAGTCTCTCAGCTGGGTTAGGATAATCTAGTGGCCCACGGAAATACTATAACTGTAGTTGTGCTGGACGACTAATGCCTACAGCCTTACTTAGAGACACGTGTGTCAAGTTTAGGATCGCTGAGATTGTCTTGCAGCCCAAGGGCATGGTAGTGATAGTTGCTACTGGTTTAGTTGAAGATAGCGGAACAAGCCAGTTTCTTATTAAAGAGTGACGGGATGGTGAGTCAATACACGGGCCAGGAGATTAGTGGCTGATAGTGTAAATAGCGATCAACTCCATTTGGGGGGCGTACGATATCATTCAATCACCCGAGTCACTAATTTTAACACGAGGTTCTCGGGACCAACTCCGACACAGGAGGGGTAATAACTTTGCAATAAACGTGACGCGGGGTGGTCTCTACGCCACCTAAACTGAGCTTCATGATACATTGTTTTATCAAAGCGTAGTATATGAGTAGATCGGTACTCCAGACTGGGGCAAATACACACAAATGATTGTCCAAGTCCCACACTGTTCTCTTTGCATTTACCTTTGAATTCAGATTTCGAATTTTACTTTAAAACTATAATAAAATATTAAAATAATTTCAAAGCAATAAATAGTTTCAGCAGTTTCTGTTCTATATATTTCATTTCCGATGGGCAGACATTTTCCGGACATTTTCAGAATGTGATATTATTCTTTTTGATATTTTCGTTTCAGAAACTGTATCGGACAACATTTCGCCTTGAATGAGCAAAAGGTCATGCTTGGAAGAATTCTTGAAAGGTTTGTTTACTTTAATGAAAATATATATTTTATGTCATTGATATAATTTGAATCAACTTTTGAAATATGCTGAAGTACGTTTTGAAATTGAGAAATTAAATATGCTGGTTGCATAAGACAAATGAATATTTGTTTTGTTTACTATTTCAGATATAAGTTAGAGGCAGATATAAGCCACAAAGTCGGACGAAGGACTGCCGCCGTAATGAAGTCCACTGAAGGACTGTGGGTGTTCGCCAGACACAGACACTGAACATTCCAGCGGAACATATTGACACTGAACATCCCAGCGGAACATATTGACACTGAACATCCCAGCGGAACATATTGATGCTGAACAAATGAACCCTAAGTTGAAATTGAAGAGAGCTGAAATAGATGGACAGAAATTTTATTGCACTTTAATTGTCTTGGAATTATCACCAATGTCCTGTATACACTGTTTTGTCCATACAGGTTCTGACTGTCTGGTGAAGCTGGTGCTGTGATAGTTAAGCTGATCATGTGATACACACAGTAATCATGACATGATTGTGCAAGTACTATATTATTCCAGTGAAACTGTACTTTCTTTCTGTAAGGTTCCATTGTCATAAATGTATCAGAAGTGATAATCAGCATTTTCCACTGTTCCCCCGAGCAAATACCATGTTTGCATTATGAATGGTTCTTTTGCGTTGGGTTGTGTCACACGCAGAAATATCAGCATGACAATTCTTCGAACTGTCGATGCATAGCGATTGTCCTAGTGACATTGCATTGCATTAAGTTCAAATATCATTGGTTAACACTGTTATCTGTATCAAATCTGTCTTTATGTGAATGTGCATGTTCATGCAGTACCTAAGCAATCCAGAATGTCTACGCCATAAGCTGGCATCTTCTCGAGGCAAGAGAGTCCACTATCCCGTCACCAGACTTTGATATAGACTAGTGGACACTCTTGTCGGGGAGATGTGTGCTGGAGCTGATGGTATATTGCTCGACATGAAGGGGCAAAATCACAACTGGAAAATCGAAATCATCCCTCTTGTCGTACGGCTAGGTACAGAGGTTGTCATCGCTTTGAATATATATGCACATATCTAGATAAAACATTAAATATTCAGTTGTTTCTTTGATTTCCAACACGGGTGGACAGGTAAGATGAATATACCCGTGGGGTCATCTATATCTCTGAAACTGAGGTTTAACCTTTTGGCATCGTGTTAAAACACTCCATTCGCAAAGAAAAACACTTCTGCCAGAAGAGGGGCACAGGTCGTACCCATGGGGATACCTACGGCGTGTTCTTCAACTCGCATATTTCGATCTGTGATAAGCGATCTGTGACAAGAGGTGCAACTCTGCAAGCGGTGCAGTGAATTGCGGCGCCTTAGACGAGTAGGCCCATTTCCCGAGTCAGCAGTGATAAGTATGGGATGTTGGAGACCTACTCTTCTCGGACTCTTCTCCGGGAACTGGGTACAGGAGGGCATGTGCTGTCCCGGAATATCCACGGGGCACAAGTAAAGGGCTGCCATAGCGATCTGTTTATGACAACCTGTGTCGGCTAATTACCTTTAAGCCATGACATTTATATGTCAAGAATCTCACAATTGCTTTTACGATAACTAATTCCATCCATTGTTAATAATCATCCGCATCGCATTGTACATTGCTGTCAGCCACCCTAAACGAGCTGTGCAACTTTGTCACTCAATTAGTAATCCGTGTCAGGTGACCTTGACTGTCTAATCCTTGGGCCAGAGGCGCAGAGGGAAGGCCTCAGCCTCAGCCTAGCTAGGTTTGGGCGAGGTGCCCCAGGGGACTGACACAACATCAACTAGTGCCAAGCTATGTCGTCACTTCCTATCGAGGACTGTACCCTTGGTTAAAATGTCACCCTAGTTATAATGCCATGTTTTCTCTCAGAACGGAATTCCGCAGTACAAAACTCCCTGGTTATAATGCCATCATGGTTATAATGCCAATACCAATGTGTTTAAGAACAAACGTTCCAATTTCCCGATAGTAATGCCATGTGCATTAATTTTTACAAAAAATGGCAATGTTGTTAATATGTCAGAGATAATTCCCTTTTCTTATATGCACATAATCATTATCATTGTGACACGCCTGTACGTTGTTCAGGCTATAGGTAGGGTTGTCGACATCGTTAGAGTGGGACTATGCTTCCAGGTCTGCTGTACGCGTTTAGTATTACCCTGAAGGTGTTGCCAATAATATGCGTTGTCTGCACGTAGGTAATAACTAACTGTTAAACAATTGTGCATCACAATATTTGTATAAGTAGACATCCATAGGTGTCTTTTTACTAGAATCAAACTTACTGGGACTGTCAATTTTTCCCGGAGCACTGTGGCCTTTATGGCCTCATCGTGTGTTGCGCCATTGTAAACTCAAAGTCCAGAGGTTTTTCCAACTTTCCACACTGCGAAGGAAAACCTGCTGAATCATGATATGAGCATGGCAAATATATGGAACACAAACCTTTGCACAGCACTACTGTAAATAAATACAGCTTTGTACATCACGTCAGCTAGGAATCTAGTTATTGCTAATACATGTACATGTTCGTTGTAAACTGGGTGTGAGGTGAGGTGAAATGGGGGTTATGTCGCGTTAACGATTATTGCACTTATATAGCGACGTACATGCACGTGTGTGTGTGCGTGTGTGTGTGTGTGTGTGTTGCTGCCTGTACTAGACTAGTCCGGACTTATCCTCACTGAGATACCATGCCGCAGTCTCACATGAAAACCCCATTCATTCACAGGGATGTAACAATTTTTCCCGAAAAAAAGAGAGGAAAAGTCTAGGCGTGCCCCCCAGAATTTCTTTTAAACATTTGATTGCATTTTAAGCAATTTCGTGCAGTTTGGACAACATTCACACCAAGAAATGTAATAAGTCAATGGCAAAAGTTAATAAGTTAAATAAACAAAGATGGCAGATGCAGTAAAAGTCCGGTTTTCGATCATATTTTTTGGAGTGTTTTTTTTCTAAATCGTTGATTATATTTTTACGCGGAAGATGATTTTTTCAGAGGACTACTGTTTTATAAAACCGCGATTTTCCGCGTTTCCGCGGAGATTTCACATTCCTGCTTTCAAGTCCGGAATATATGTTCGCAATTTCACCAATCTCATTAAAATCGTATCACAGTTCTCGCTATCGCTAAACAAAGCGGCAGCGAGAACTTAGATCTTATTTTGATGAGATTGCAATTTCACCGAGTTGGCAAAACACGATTTCTCAGCGAGCTGTGAGCGGGCTGCATGGAAAATAATTTGTCCGCTTCTTAACCAATCAGAGGCTAGTATTTTCATGTAAAGTTAAATAGCGTCGGTTGATCATGTTATCAACCAGTGGTTTGTGTGATCCAGACTCGACTATTTCCAGGCCTTCGGGACATAGCTGGTGTTTTGTCGACGGTTGCGTAAAACAACATTCACTCACAGATGTTCAGACTAGTTCAGGTGTTTACAATAAATTCCAGCTCCTAAATCTAAATAAATGTAATGGTTGTTTGTCGCTTGTTGCGACATCCGTTTTGTTCATGAGGGCAGCTCGGAGAGGCCATGATGCATTTTGCAGAATGTAAAGATTTTACGTGCGCCTCACACGCATAAAATTTTCTTATAAGCTCAGAACTGCTTTATTAACGTTTGCAAGAATTTCTTCTTTGTTGTTTAACGCACTCAGCAATATCCCAGCTATATGACGGCGATCTGTAAATAATCGAGTCTGGACCAGACAATCCAGTGATCGACATCATGAGCATCGATCCACGCAATTGGGATGCGATGACATGCATCAACAAAGTCAGCGAGTCTGACCACCCGATCCCGTTAGTCAGTCGCCTCTTACAAGCATAGTAACCTTTTACGGCAAGCATGGGTTGCTGAAGTCTGTTCTACCCCGGATCTTCACGGGTCACGATTGGGCTGGAATCTCTTGGTGTGTCAACACTGGTGGGAAGTAGCATGCCAAGTTTCACCATATTTGATCCAGTTGTTTCTGGGGGAAATGAATGAGTGAGAGACTGCGGTGTTATGCAGCGATCAGCAATATCTCAGGTATATCAAACCTCATCCGATCTCTGGGCTGCTCCCGATAAACGATTATGCAGTTGACGTGTGGCTACACAGTTACATCGATTTTTCCTCATAGATTCCCGATTCGGAACACATGCACACTACCAAACCCGCCATAACGTACATGAATCACCCCCCCCCCCCCCCCCCCCCCCAACTCGAAAGGTAAATATATTGTCGCAAGATCACAAATATGAGTACTCGTATTTGAAGGCAAGTATCTTAGTAGTGAATCACGTTGCATTTGTGGTTAAATCACAACGCATGCACTTTGCTAGAGAGTATTAAGAACGATGCAGATTTGGATCAGGGTCTATCAGGAAAACTGTGTGGGACACGGTTACGGCAGCTAAGATCAACCAAGCCTGTAAATATTGGTTTCGCCCAGGCAACACTGTACCAGCAATGACCCTGTTGGGGCAAGATGACACAATCACTCAAGTCACCCTGCCTACCATCCGATCCTCCAACGGTTCTAGCCGGTAATATCCACAGGATGTTTTCAGTAGAAGAGGTATAATAAGATTATTGCCCTCATACAGCGACAGTGCGTGTTTGCGTGCAAGGCAGGGTGACCTTGTACAAAACAAGCTCAGTGCTACGACTGTTAAGTCTATGTTAAGGTATGCGAGTTGGATCACATGAGCGCTACAATCGCTTTGTACAACAGCACCCAGGATAATAAGTACAGTCTCTTAACGTCTTTTGGTATGACTTGGCAAGTGTTTGGGTGAGTGAGTGAGTTGGGTTTAACGCCGCTTTTAACAACATTCCAGTTATATCATGGCGTGTCAGCTTAATGTGGGAGGAAAGCCCGAAGTGATGCAGGTCTCAGACGTTTACCACTTTGGTGAACCCACGAGCACGAGTATGGTGCTGACAAACCTAGAAACATAATCGGGGCGAACCGTGATTCGAACCCACAATCATAGGTTTCTTGCATGGCCAAGAGACGGGCCAGTGTTTGAACCTGGGTTCTTCTGATATCTCGGCAGATGCTCCATCCACTCGACCAAGGTGTGGTGAGATGTTTATAGAAGTTTGTTTTTGGTAGGGAGGTCTGTAGTGATGCAGACTCTCCTGTTTATTTCTTTGTATATATAATCAGGGATGGTCTTGAGTTTGACCCTACAATCTGTGGATCCCCGCACAACAAATTGCAGTGCCTTAGACCATTTGGCCACCAATGCCCTGCAAGCTCATATGGACTTTACCAAGGTGAGCTAATAGTTCAAGAGAGCATGACTTGATTATCATTGAGTACACTCACATATGTGCTTTTGTGTATCATTCTTGACTACTTTGAGAAGGGTGATAAAAAAGAAAAAGAATGACTTAATTTATTACAAAAATTTATTTTCTAAAATGAGAAAATCTAATGATGGAATGAGGTTAAGCTTGGAGGCTGCTCTTGGCAGTATAGGCGAGCCACCAGACCAGCACAGCCACCAGGGCAGCAACCATCTCAGTCTGAATCAAGGTACCTTTCCATACTCCCTGCAAAACACAAATGAAACCATATTCAGGCTGTATTTTTGTTTTTAAGTATTTGCAAACATACCTTATATAAACCAGGAATGATAATACAGGTGAATCTGGGATTGGTACACACGATCAAAACATTTTGGCATGCCTAAGGGACACAACTCTGTAACTGTTACATTACAGTTGGGAATTGTTGTCTGGATTGTTTTCCCACCAAATTAATCTCAGACAAACCTGTTTAGAGCCAGAACGTTTTATTCATTGACATTTTCTTCTCCACTGTTATTAAGGGCAGTTACATAGATTGAAGGGTAACCAAGCTCTACTGGAGATTTAAGTCGTCTCATACATTATGGTGGAGTTTCCTTTGAAATGGGTTTGAGAAAAATGAGGTCATACTCTAAAACTGTGAATACACAGTAGCTTCAGGACCAGACGAATATTTGATGCAAGAAGGGGAAAATCAAGCGTGGAAATAGCCTGGAAAAGCACTTATCATCATGACAACAGTACTCCATGTGAC